AATATGTTTATTCAGGGAAGGTGTTGTAAATCGAATAACCATTTAGTTTTAGCATCACTATTAAAGTAACGGTTTTAAGTAGTATGTATTAGTGAATAAGATGAGAGTATGAAATAAATGTTTTTAGTTCTTTTGTTACATTCAACCCGGTCACACGCGTTTTATTCTAACAACAATAACTTCGGGGCGACGTTATTAAGAAACTGAATTTAATTATTTTTTTTGATAGACTTTTTCTATGACTTTAACTCCCGCCTGAGGGTAGAAAACAATGTCCAGAAAAAAACTAATGGCAAGGTTGCATGGAGCGAAATGTCAGCTTTCCAGCTATACAAATTTTTCTTCGAAAATCTCATTTTTATATCCTACACCACTTTGGTGGGGAGGGTTTATTGGGTTTGTGCTGATGTTTGTAACATACAAAAATATTCGTCCTATACCCACCTTAAAGTATATCAATCGGCTTAGAATCGTTTTCTAAGTCGATTTAGCTGGCTGTCCATGTAAATCTTGTGCGCAAAGTACAGGTCGTAATTTTGAAGATAATTGGATGAAATTTGGCACACACGCTTTTTTTGACCCTATTAAAAATGGTTAAAATCGGTTCGTTATTTCACCTAGCCCCCATACAACAGAACCCCCCGAAAAGGGCTTCTGAGCTCATAATTATGTTAAATATACCTGTATATCTATAAAAAGCGGCACAACTAATTTTTATACAAGCCTTGATGACCTTGCCAAATTTCATAAATATCGGGCCTCATCCTCATTTGACCCTCTTCAGAATATTGCTTGAATGTCCAAAATTAACTTATAGACACAAATATCGCGATGAAATTCAGCACAAATAAATATTATATAAATATATTCACAAAACTTTATCGGGCTTGGTCCATATTTGCCCCTAGCCCCCCATATAAAACCTCTTTCAGAAAATTAGTTTTTCATCCATAAATTGCTTAAATTTATTAGAACAAGGTAATATTGAAGATAAATGCTTTGAAAAATAAATCACATTTAATATTCATAACTGGTGTAGGGTATCATATGGTCGGTCACGCCCGACTATACTTTCTTACTTGTTAATTAATGAATTATTGCCAACCTTCTCCATATATCTGCACCAATGTGCTATGCTTCATGTAGTGAGCGGCAGGTGCCTAGGTAGTTCCGGCAACCGTGGTGGAAACCTAAACTAATGCAGCTAAGGAAAGAATGTAGGAAACTATTTAAGAAAGCGACGAGGGATACAAACCCCTTAAGCTGGGACGATTATCGTCGAAGCTTCAATACTTTTAAGAGGGAAACCAGGCGAGCTAAGAAGGAATCTTGAAAGCGTTTCTGTGAGGAGCTGGAGAGTACCACGGTGGCATCACGTCTATGTAAGGTGCTATCCAAAGACCCCGGTACGCCTGGATTCCTGATGAATCCGGATGGTAACTTTACTGAAAGTAACACCGATACTCTGGAACTGCTTATGGAGACACACTTTCCGGGTGGCAGAGATAATGAAAATGAAGTCTCCACTTGGGAGCACCTCGCAACTTCTCGAATCCACATAAGTGAATTAGTCAATTCCGTTGTTAGTATGGAGAAAATTTTGTGGGCGGTGTCATCCTTCAAGCCCTATAAATCTCCAGGACCAGACGGCATATTCCCAGCACTACTCCAGAATCGATCACATCATGCCATGGCTAATTCATGATATTTAGGAGCAGCCTGGAAACAGGATATATTCCTAAAGTATGGAGAGAGGTTATAGTGGTATTTATCCCCAAAGCAAGAAAAGTAAACCATAGTAAGAAAAGTAAACCAAAGTAAATCTAGTCGTAAATAAAATCCTTTTCAGACTCAGTAGGATGGGCTTCAAAGTAGTCGTATATGCTGACGACGTTGTACTTCTTATTCAAGGGAAATTTCTTCCCACGATATGTGAATGGAATCTTTTCACCAGAAGGTACAAAATTCCAGAATTCATACCTCCGCGTTTGGATTGTACCATTCTGAATACCTCAAGCGAAGCCAAATATCTTGGCATAATTTTAGACTCTAATCTCACGTGGAAAGGTAATGCTGAGAGTCGAATGAGGAAGGCATTATGTGCCTTCTATATATGTAAGAAAACCTTTGGGAATGTATGGGGTCTTAAACCATACATTGTGCACTGGATGTACACCGCGGTTATAAGATCTATTTTGACCTACGGAGCTCTTTTTTGGTGGAGAGCGGTGGATACCAAGACTTATCACTCTATTTTAAACAACGTGCAAAGATTAGCATGTCTTGCAATCACTGGCTGTTTGAGCTCCACCCCTCAGGCTAGTCTAGAGACGATGCTAAACATAACTCCCCTTGATATATACATCAAATGCATTTCTGCTAAATCTGCTCTACGACTTAATCAGTCGAACGGATTGAACATCGACCGCATTGGTCATGGCACCATCCTACAAAAGATAGGCAGGCCAATCATGGGGCAGGAAACAGACATTCAAGACCACAATACTGACAAGGGGTGATTGGGCCGCGAACACTGTCCTAAGGGACGACGTGATCTCAATCTATACTGATGGCTCAAAGACAGAAAAGGGCACGGGATCGGGAATCTTTTCCGAAAAACTAAATCTTCTACTGTCTCTTCGATTACCTGACACCTTCAGGCAGAGATATATGCCATATATACAGCCGCGAGAAGAATCCGGGAACTAAATCCGGGAAATTCGACTATACATATATACTTGGACAGCCATCAAGGCTCTTAACTCCAATGTTATTAAGTCGAAGTGTCTTCTCAATTGTATTCAATCATTGGCGCAACTGACACAACATCACGTTGAGTTGATATGGGTTCGAGGACATGAGGGCATCCGGGAAATGAAATATCTGATGAATGCGCAACCAAAAGGTCGTCCCTAGACTTAACCCTTGCGCAAAGGGATATTCACACTCCCCTGACGACCCTATCAAAATTGATAGATGAATGGGCTTTGAGAGAGACGGAACTCAGGTGGTCAAATATCACCACTTGTAGAATATCGAGACTGCTCTGGCCCACTTTGACAACAGATAGGACTAGGACTCTCTTTTCTCTTAGGAAGAATTTGATTAGGCTTCTAACTGGCATAATTACTGGGCACTATATGATTGGACATATGTCGGAACGTATGGGCTACCTAAATTATAGCTACTGTAGAAGCTGCTTGGACGAAGAAGAAGTGGAATTGGTACAAAACCTATGTGACTGCCCAGCCTTACAAGAGCACAGACTAATCTATCTTGGTAGAGCTCTTTTTCATGATCTAGACTGTCTCATAAACGTGATCAGTTTTATTAAAAATTCTAAGGATATCACAATGGGCCCCGAGGCCTCCGAGTGAACTCGCTGGCTAGCGAGCAACCCACGTAACCTAAACTAATTTGTTGTGAAAAATAAACATAAAAAAGTACATATTCATAAAAAAAATATATTACGAATGAATGAATCTTTGTTGCGAATGGATAATTCTGCTCCGGCGGATTAATTTTCACAATTTCAAACGTCCTGCTGCCGCCAGCCGGGTAAATACTTAATGTGTTTTTTATATAAAGTATTCCGGAGCAGACATTTTTTAGTTCATCACGTTATCTACATAGTATTGATCTTTAATCTATATATATATAAATGAATGTGTGTTTGTATGTATGTTTATTTGTTTGTTTAGACTTTATAGACAGCTAAGCGGCTGGACCGATTTTTCTGAAATTTTCACAGTGTTTTCCTGTTGTCTGGAAGGAACTATAGGCTACTTTTTATTTCAAAATTTCAAGTGGGCGACGTGTCACGCACGCATACAAAATAAGTATAAAATTTGGTTTGGGCAACTTTGACATCCATATGAATACATAGGAATAAAAAGGGTAGCCTAGCTACAGTGGGCACCTCCCATATAAAAACATCTTAAATTGATATATTTGAGGAAATATAACAGCTAGATTCCTAATTTTTTTCGGAGGCACTTTAGTATCAACATGAATGTTTAGGACATAAAATGGGCGAACAATAATTATGGGGCGTGGCACCTCCCAAATGAATTAAATTTTAAAATTTGTTTATCTGATAAATTATTTGAGATAGAATCTTAAAATCTTGCACAAAGACCTTTAGCATCCATATGAAAATTTAGGATAAAAATGGGCGGTCTTTCATAAGGGGGTCTTGGTACTTCCCATTAGGATTGAATATAAAAATTCGTATATCTGGGAAACTCTTAGAGGTAAAATTTTGCACGAGCTACTTTGACATCCATATGCAGATTTGGGTAATAAATTGGCGGACTAAATTTTAGGGGCATGGCACCTTCTTTATAAATTAAATAATAAATTTAGTTTATCTAGGTAACTATTGGAGCTAGATTTAATATCTGATCAGCTGATTGAATAACACCACCTTATGTGAATTTGTCTTGGGCTTGTACTAAATTTCTTTAGAAGAAACAAAAAATCTTATTTTAGTGATTCGCAGTGTACATGACCTAAAATATATCTGTTAATCTCAGTCGTTTATGCCGGGAGCAAGCATTTTTCACTATTGTTATTTTAAAACTATATCTATATCTTTTTGCAAAGTTGCATTATTCTTATATTTGTGCATTAGAACAAAACGTATATAATTCTAAGAATTTTCATGTCACTAAGTTTAGTATTTAAACATTCGTTGTAAAAGGAAAAAAAGAAGACTCAATAAAACATTTTACTTACTTACTGTTAATCTCATATGGTTTTTGAAATATTTTATGTGTGACAAATATTATCACAAACCCATTATACCCTCCATACTATGGTATGGATATTAATCACATCTAAAAGTGCTATCACATATTTTACGCTTATATAAACCATATTTTAGCTTACAAATAAAAACCCAGTTAAAAATGAGGAATCGAAATACGGAGTAACCCCCCTGATAAATGAATAATATTATGTAACATATATACATATAATATAAAGTTTGTTATAATTACCATTTGTAGTATTTTGATATCCATCAATACCTATTGAAATAAACAAACAGAATGACCATTAATTTAAATAATAAAAGTAAAATGTTTATCTTTGAATGTATACATATTTTTTGAGAAAATAAATATCGTACCATTTATCAAGTCTGGCAAATTAGGTGCAGTGCTTAATTGATTTGGGATTGTTTCTTCATTTTGTTTAAGTTTCAATGGCATAGTTTGTTGTAGTATCCCTGATGTTGAACTGAAGAAACTATTTTCATCAAATAGATTTAGTTTCGACATAGCATCTAAAAAAATAAGAAAATAGTAGTGTAGAGTCAGTTTTATATTCCTTTTGTTGTTTTCACAATTTTATTTGATTAAGTATATTTTATGAAACGTATGCATGTTAGTCCGACTCACTCTGAATGGAAAGCAAAAACGGGTTATTGTTACCCCTCTCAAAATTTACCTTGCTGTGTTTTATGATGATTCTCAAAATATTTTAAGTCTAGGGATGACCGTTCATGAGCTGGACCAAATTAAAAAAGGTATTTTAGAAGGTGGCGTGTCATAATGTCCAGTGACATAATGTCCATAGACTTTATGACACACTATAAAGCGACATAATGTCCATGGACATTATGTCACTTTTTTAAAATGTCATAATGTCCATGGACAGAAATGTATTGGAAAATTTGTTTAAAATTTAAGAAAGGGACACTCTTATCCCGAAAAGAATTGCCCCTAAATTTGGCGTATGATCCACATAAAATATGGTAGAGAGATTTTGGCTAGTAAGACTCTTTTTTGTGTTAGATTTCATCGCTATACTCGTATTTTTAAGCCAGTAAGTAATGAGCGTTAAAGTAATTTTCTGAAAGGACCTCATATGGGGGTTAGGGTCAATTATGGACCGATCCACATAAAATTCGGTGGAGAGATTTTGGCTCGTAAAAGATTTACTTATGCCAAATTGCATCGCTATACTCGTACTTTTAAGCCAATAATGACTGTTCAAGTCATTTTCTGATGGGTTTCTGACGGGTCAATTATGGACCGATCCTCATAAAATTTGGTAGGGAGATTTTGGCTAATATAAAACTTATTTAAGTTGAATTACATTGCTATACTAACACTTTCTAAACATATATGTATGCCCGTTAAGGCAGTTTTTCGAGGGTCCAGTTGTATAAGGGCTATCCGAAAAAGTGAACCGATATTGCCCATTTTCAATAAAAAAACTAACCTTACTTAAATAGAATTTCCTCTAGCTCATTCCGTTCGGAATCTATCGTGTTTTCAACAGACAGTCAGACAGACAGACGAACATGGTAAGATCGTCTTAGAATTTAAAAAGAACCCAGAATATATACATATGTACATATACTTTTGTGGATGACCAATATTTCGATTTTTGACCAATATGTAAAAAATGTAACGTTGCTTACAATGGTAGCCATTGAAAGTCCGCCCATTTTCCCCAAAATGTTCAAATAAATGTTAAATTTCTTCGTCCAAAATTTGAAGATTTTAGGTCTATTAGTTTCCCAGACAAACTCCAATTTATTACCCAAATGTTCACATGTATGTCAAAGTAGTTCTTGAAAAATTTGAGGATTTTAGCTCTGATAGTTTCTCAGATACGCGAAATTTTCTACTTAATTCATATGGGAGGTTCTTCGTGCAAAATTTTAAGATTTTAACTATAATAGTTTCCCAGATAAGCGAGTTTTTGTATTTAATTCATATGGGAGGTGCCGCGCACCCAACTTCTAGTCCGCCCCCTTTTTCCTTAAATAATCATATTGACACTAAAGTGGTTCAGACAAAATTTCATATCGAAGGTGCCACGCCCACCATAGACATTCCGCCCATTTTGTCCGAAAATAATCTTATGGATGTCAAAGATGTCCTACACAATTTAAAACCTGTAACTGTTGTATTTTCTGAGATATGCGACTTTTAATATGTATATGGGCGTGGCAAACCTCCCACTTGAAATTTCGAAATAAAAAGTAGCCTATAGTTCCTTCCAGACATACAGGAAAACACTGTGAAAATTCCAAGAAAATCGGTTTGGCCGTTTAGCCGTCTATAAAAACCAAACAAACAAACATACATACATACATACATATATACATACATACATACATACATACATACATACATACATACATACATACATACATACATACATACATACATACATACATACATACATACATACATACATACATACATACATACATACATACATACATACATACATACATACATACATACATACATACATACATACATACATACATACATACATACATTTTTATATATATAGATTGGCTTTTGAAATGCTCACTTTTATGCATAAACAGCAATTTTAAAAATGTTCAAATATTCATTATCAACCGTTCTCACAACAAACAATTAATTTGTCAGTCGACAGTCGAAAAATTTTTTTTTGGAAAATGAATTATAATGAATTATAAAACAGAAATCCTGTTTAATTTTTTACAGTTACAAACCTACTTTCTATCAAAAATGAAGTAATTTAGATATGTCCATCTAAACCTTGTAATCAAACTACAAGTCGCAATTTTCCAGATATGTATAATTGAACAAGTTAACAAGTACTATATTCGTCTGACCCGAATATAGCACTACCTTTATATTAATACTTCTTTAATTGATCAAATATTTGTAGAAATAAGTTTTCTCATGCTTTTTAAGAGAAAAAAAACCCAATATTTAAACAGCATATATCTGAATATTACTTATTATTTGTTAATAAATAATGTGAAATAATAAGTAATCGTGAAAAAATCTTGAAATAGCATTTTTGTATACAAAACTAATGTGATAATTTTTGTAAGGATATCATTATTAATGTGTGTTTAAGATATTTTCAGAAAAAGACCAATTATGGGCCGACCGTTTCACAGTAACATTAATATATATATATATACAAAGGCGAAATTTGGGCTAAATTCTGTATCTTTATCATTATTTGGTAATGAGTATTGTGTATTTTAGAGATTTTCGGAAGGATGCCTTGTATGGGAGCCATGACTAAATATGGACCGATCAGAAAATGAAATTCACAGTAACATTTCTAAAGATATAAGCAATATTTGTGCCAAATTTTATAAGGATATCATTATTTTGTAATGAGTTTATGTGATTTTCGGAAGGGGATCTTGGTCGTAGCTCACAATTATGTACGTATCGAAAAAAAATACAGTATCTTTTCCGTGTACAAAAGTAATATTTGTGCCAAATTTTGGTTGGATATCATTATTTGGTAATGAGTTATATGCGTTAAAGTGATTTTCGGGAGGGGACCTTGTATGGGAGCTTTGACCAATTGTGGACCGATCGGAAAAAATGTGTACAGTATAATTTCCGTATTTAAAAGACATATTGTTACAAATTTTGTATGGATATATTAATTTAGTAATGAGTTATGTCAGTTTAAGTTTTTTTCTAAAGGGGACCTTGTATGGGAGGAATGATCAATTGTGGACCGATCGGAAAAAAATACAGTAACATTTCTGTGTATATAAGAAATATTTGTACCAAATCTTGTATGGATATTATAATTTAGTAATGAGTTATATGCGTTTAAGTGATTTCACAAAATTTTTCAATAACATCCATTGTCAAGTATATACATACATACAACAACAACATGCAATGTAGACCACACAACTTTGTCTAAATGTTAAGAAACGTGGTAAGCTTACTATTGACAAAGCATTTTGAGCTTAACTTGATTATAAGATATTTGGAGAGTTGGATTAAAGGATAAAAAGGTCCTTTTTTGAGGTTTTTATGATTTTTTTCATTTTCTTCCAAAGGAAAGATATAAAGTTTTGGTATCATAAGAAAGATGATTGAGGCACGCTTTCAATGGGATATCAGAAAAATTTGTGTAACACTAAAAATAATCGTAATTTTCTAATTTTTCCGGAAATTTTCAGATTTTTTTAAATGTTTACATAGATGAATTTAATATAATTCGTTGAAATTAATTCACAATAATCGTCAATAAAATCCACCAAAACGGGTTTTTCCGTTTTTCAAAATACAATCTAGATCAAATTTTATTTAAATTTATCGAAGCCTATGTACGCTACCAAAACATTGCGAAATAATGTAAACAATAACATAGAAACCGTTATTTACAAAGCAAGCATAACAAACCAGTAGATGTTTGGGATAAATTGTGTTAATATTTTAGTTAAAATTAAAAATTTGATTGATAACACCGTACAACAAATTGGGAAAAATTGTTGCACACATGAGCAAAACCATGTACGTTGGAAACTACATACTTAATATAGTTATACTAAACTTTTGGTTTTTTATTTTCTGATCGTTTCTTCCTTTAAAAGGACTTTAAAGTTTGAAAGTAAGATTAAGTATAATTATATTTAGCTAAAATTTGGTTTGGTCTAGTAGGTCAATATGGGTATCGAATGAAAGAGGAAAATAACAGTATTCTTACGAATGAAATAATTTTAAAATGTCAGAATAAAAAACAGAAAAAAATGTCCTTTAAAATTTTAATCCTTTAATATCCTTTTTTTATACTCAATTTTTTTTGAAAAAATATATGTTAAATTGAATATTATGGTGTTTCTGACTGAAAAATTTCGTGTTTTTATCTCTATCAGTTTCTTGTAAAAAAATTTTAAACTTAAGTTATACACATTTACTTAAATTAAAAAATATGTTTGTTGGAAATAATTTGTATATTTACCATAGAATATCACTTGAAAGTTAAAAACAACTTTATTTTATGGTGGCTTGTCATAATGTCCATGGACGTTATGGCAAACCAAACAGTTTCATAGTGTCCATGGAGGTTATTACACTTTCATAAGAGTCTCAATATCCATGAGAAAAGTGGCATAAAGTCCACGGATTACATATAGTCCATTTATTATGAAAAGGCTTGATATAGCGAAGCCGGTATTCAAAATACACCGAAGTTTAAAAATCCTGCGCCCGGCCGGAGGCCGCCAATTTTGGACACTTTTTTAAATGAATCCAAAATACAACATACAGTAAAGTTAAGACCAATGCTTTCCTTGCAATACATCTATGTTTTAATAGTGTCACAAAGACTATTGACATAATGACACTTTTAAAATTTGAAGTTATGTCCATTGACAATATGACTCTTTTAGGGTTGACAAAACGTCCATCTCCTAAGTTTAAAAAATAAATGTCTCAAAAAATTTATTTTCCTACCGATTATGCCGAATAATTCGACCTAATCTATAATCTTCGGTCTAACGATTGCCCAAAAATTAGCAATAAAGTTATTCCAGCCTTTTTTATTCATGGTGAGGAGGGGTGAGGTCCTTGATATACCTAATTTTTGTATTTTTTAATAAAAACTATAAACTTCTACTTATATGATTTAGAGCAATTTAATGGATATCAATTGAAAGTATTTACCACTTCTTCCAACATTCTTCCACATAAAGTATTTTTAACATGACATCATAAAAACCAAAGTATAACAAGTAGTCCGACTCTTTGACAGCAGTACCTAACTCTAAGCATGTGTTAGTGAAAATGTACCTAACTCTAAATATGTGTTAGTAACAAAAATGTATATGTATTTATAGAAGATAGATTATACTAAATTGCGTTAATTAACTATTTGTTTAAAATGCGTGTTTATGATGAAATATTTATTAAAAACACGAAAACAAAACTATTTTACTAACAAATACTTAAAATATCAACTTTAAATTCTTAAAATTTTCAACTTTTTAATTCACCTCATTGTCAAAAATAAAAAAAATATAAAAATAAAAATACGCAAAAAACTTTATTGTTTGCTATAAACGGCTATAAAGATTTCAAATAACTTTTTACAGATAAACAAAGTGAAATCTTATTATTCCGCCACATTTTTAAATATAAAAAGCTTTTTCAAGGAGGTAGCTTTAAATATTTTTAAATGCAATGTTTATCTCCAAGTTTGGTCATAATCAATTTTCGTTTTAAATTACAGATTCTTTATTAAAGAATATTTTTTTAAAATGCCTAGGAAGTGTGTCTACAATTGTAAAAATTATAATAAATTATTCAATTTCCCAAACAAGGCCACTGATGCATTAAGGTATAGATTCCAATTGCAGTTAGGATTGCATTACCTCCAACAGTCTTAAGTCTAAAATTATAATTTAATATTATTTAAAAAGTAATAGTTTGACGAAATTGTAACCTCCTCCACTACACTGGGTTGGTGTTATGCATTTCTGCTAAACCTACAACGAACACCTTATATTAATAGGGACCGTGAGGGACTGGTCTTTTATGACCTATCCCAAGACTGCGCTCTTTTTATGTGTTACCTTAATTGAGCCGTAACTTGAAATTTTAAATAGTTTTACTTTAACACAGTTGTAGTTTAAATGAGCGTAATGTGAATTTATTTAACCCATTAATGCCCACAGTTTCATATACGTAACGTAACTTAATTCGAATTCGGACTGGACATATACACAAGTAAACTTTTATATTAAAATTTCATATTTCTACCTTACGTAGATCGCCGTGGGCATTAATGGTTTAAATGAATATTTAAATTGCAGAAATAATATAAGCATCCAAAAATTAAAGGTTTTCTTGGTTGTTATTTATTTAATAAAATGTTAACTTCACACATATCTGTAATCACAATCGGTAACCGCATAACGCTTTTATCATCTGTGACCTCATACATCATCAGGTTTTGCTTTTAAACTTCCTTTCAACAAATGCCTCAAAAATATTAACAACTACATTTTTAATCTTTAATAGAAGAGCAACTTGGCTCGAAATATTCAATGTCACAGAAAATAAAAATTTATACGCTTGTTCAAATCACTTTTCGGACATCATGTATTCAAATCAAAATTTAAACAGAAATGCAATACCCAATCAAAATTTGGAATATATTGCTGGTCCTTTTGAACAAAAAAAAAATATGTAAGCAAACTAATAATTATATTTCTTCCGAAATAAATAATTATTACAACTGTTCTAAATATTTGATATACATACATATATAAAACAGTTAGAAGAAAGAATTCAAAAATTAGAAGATGAAAATAACAAATTATTGCAACAACATTTAAAATTAGAAAAGAATTTAAAAAACTCTACTTTTGATAATTTGCCAAAAAAAAAAAAAAAAATGAAAATTTGCGTAAAAAATGCTTTAGATAATGTAAACAAAGAATTAAATGGTTGAAGATATACAGATGAAATTAAGGCTATTGCATTGGGTGTATATTTTATTTCCCCTATGACATATAAGTATTTAAAAAACGATTTCCTTTGGCCAAGTAAATCAAAATTATTAGAATTTGTAAGTGAATGGCCAAGAGAACCTGGCCTTAAAGTTAAACAGTTAAATGTCTTGAAATTGAGTACTCTAAATTTTAGTGATGAACAAAAGTATGTTTCCATGGACATTATGTCGCTTTATAGTGTGTCATAAAGTCTATGGACATTATGTCACTGGACATTATGACACGCCACCGTTCAAAATTGTCCAAAATTTGCTCTGAAAATCGGTAAGTTTTCGATATCTAACAATGGGTCCAAAACTTTTTCGAATATTCAAAGAGAGACCCTCGATTCAGCTGTCAGGTTCAATGCACAATAAATTGCTTATAAAACCAACTTAAACATAAAGGATCGAAGGAAAAATCCTATTTATTTTTTCATAAATATATTTCTAATTGAAACTTCCCAAAATAAATTAAAAAAATATATTTTTGAATTATTACGTTATGTCCCTAAGGCATTATAATAACTTATTTCTATTATTTTTTCCAATGCCTATTTCAGTTATATCCAAAAAATTTTTCCTGAGTCCAAAAATTTATAATAACTGAATAACAGATCAAAGTATACAAAAATAGCTTTCATTTGAGATATTGATCAAATTTTACCATATAGTTTGGCAGAAAATAGATTTCCCACTGAAAAAATTTATTGTTTCTATTTTTTTTTTGACGGCACTGTATATATTTTTAGTTTTTCAAAGCGATTCTGATATTTTAAGTGAATTGTAAATATTTAAGTATTTTTTATACTGATCATTACAAAAATTGCAAAAATTTTTTAAACACAAACAAAACTCAGTTGTGCCGATTTTTGTATGGAAAAAAATATATGTAACATAATTATGAGCTTTAAAGACACATTTGCAAGGGTCGGCCGTATAGGTGAAATAAGAGACCAATTTCAACAAATTTTAACACGTACTGGACCCAAAAGAAACATTTGTTAATGACTTCTTTAAAGACATACGGTCGAACGGACATCGTTTAATCAATTAGGGAGGTTAAAACATTAGCAAAAATAAATATATAATTCACGATAGTACAGTAGTGTATTGTATAAACAGTACAAGTTTAAAATTCGTTATATAAGTTGCAGAATAATAGCATTATCCATTGAACAAAACTACACATTAGGATGTCCCGTGGACAACTTTTTTGGAGGAATACCTCTCAAACGATGCGTATTAATGTACTAAATACGAGAAAAATATATTTTTTTTTTTTGAAAAGGCCCTCAGTTCCCTACCAGCGATTGAAAATTTTGATCTCAGTACAATATGCTCAAAAAATATTTTCTGCAATCTTTTCGAAATGGGCCTCAAAATAAAAATTTTTATTTCATTATTCCTGGTCCGCAAAACGACTTTTAGGGTATTATGAGGGGTATATACATAAATTTCAAAATAATCTAAAATATTCTAAAATGGACCAAACCATAGACCAAACTACTTTTTTTAATAATTCTCTGTATAAACTAAAAAGTACGACAATTTTGAAAATAATATGCCTGTCCAACCAACTTAAAATCATTTTATGCACCAAAAATAAAATGTTTAAATTATTTTTCCTTTAATCAGCTCAAATTGCGGAATTTTTGAGACCCATTTCAAAATAATCGAAAATACTTTATATTTCACAAATTATACTGAGGTCAGAATTTTCAATCTCTGGTAGAGAACTGAGAACCATTCGAAAAAAATATTTTTTTTCTGGTGTTGATTTTGATGAATATATGTATATAGAGAAACAAGGAAGTTATTGATTTTTGATATGAAAATGTCATATATTTTCTACTGTGGAACGGTACGACACAAAGCGCGACTGGTTATAAAAGGTTGTTCACAGAGACCAGGAATTGATTATCAAGAAATGTACACTCCGGTAATTCGTTAACTTCAATAAGATATTTGATATCTGTTGCAGTTTGATCTCGACATCGAACAAATAGACGCTATAATGTTATAACATTACAAACAGTGTTTCTTTGTATTATATTTTCCAAAAAGTTAGTGTTCGATTTCAGAAAAACGTAATAAAAATAAAATATTGGTTTTACGTTTAGCTATTAGAAGTTTCTCTTAAATTTTTCCTACTACACCCACCTTAAAGTATACCTACCGATAGACTCAGAATCGCTTTTTGAGACGATTAAGACATGTCCGTCCGTCTGGCTGGCTGCCTATGTAAGCCTTGTGCGCAAGCTACAGGCCATAATTTTCAAGATATTTTAATATTTTGAAATAAATAAAGGTGTTTTAAAGTAGCGTCCATTGATGTCATATTCCAAAAAAATTTTAAATTGTTAGGTTTTTCATTAATATAAATAAAATATATGTATTATTTTGCAAATAAAATATATGCATAATTTTGCACACCACTAGACGTGGCTTTAAAAAACCTTTCAAATGATACCACATATTGTATACCATTATATAACATATTGAATTAAACATGAAAAATCGTGGCCTCCATAGTATATTTTCTTGAAAACTGTCCAGCTCACGAACGGACAACACTAAACCCAAAATATTTTGGGTAACATCATATTACAAAACAGCGAATAATTTGAGGGGGGTAACTCAAGCACCATTTTTTGTGAGTCGGTCTAATGGGTCTAAAGGTTTTATATCATGAGCAAAATCGTTGTAAACTAGTGTAATTGTTTTAATGATAACATGATGATAACAAACCTATTTCAACGAATTATTAAAACTTAACTTGAATACATCAAATATATTTTATATTACCTGTTATGGAATTGTCTCCTTTACTCTCTTTTAGTAGTGATTCATTAAAATGGATTTTTTCAAGACGATTATTATCAGGGGATTCATTCAGGCATAAATTATTTTCCTCGGTATTATTATTGTTATGCTTAGGTACTTCATTATCGACAAACAAATTTTCTACATATCCATAGGGTTTGGAAGAGTTATCTGATAAGTTGTTCTCATCGGCATTAGAATCCCGATTCGTATCTAATTCGGAACTAGATGCAAGTGTTCGTTTATATTTTATGGGGGATTTTCTACATTCATCATTTAAATTTTCATTAAAACAGCTTGGAGAACTTTTTCCACTAACACTTTCATTTATTATTGAGTTATTCTCGCTTGTGGTAACAATGCAACTACTACTGCTGTTACTGCTGGAGCTAAGTGAGCGCTGACTATCTGTTTTAGTCATATTATTGTCATTTCTTGTCTTATTGCAAATATATCCTTCGTTATTCCCATCTGAATTGATGGATTTCGTAGTTGCAGTTTTTGAGTGTTTACCAAATTCTTTTATTTCATTTTCCACAATTGTAGACGACGTCAGTTCCTTTTTTGGATTTGACCGATTTGTTATATTGGACTGATTCCTATCTGTGCTCTTGTCAACTTTAGATTTGGATGTTGGTTCGACCAAAGAATTATTGTTTGTTGTGGAATTTTCAAGTGATGAATTAGAAATTATTGCGGGCAAATCAATTTCTTTGTGCAAGGGAATTGAACCTGAATTATTGTTATTTTTATTTTTTATCTTGCTATTTTTTTCACTTTTATTTTTATCTTGCTTTGTACGCTCTTTCTTATTTTTGTTGCCATTATTTGAACTGGATTCCTTTTGATTGACAGGAGAAATAGATAAACTCGGCCAAGCTTCTTTTTGGGGAGCAGAACCAAGTACAGAAGATATTACATTATTTGTTGTAACAGATGAAGATGCCGGTGTGCTTGTTGAAGGTGTGATACTTGAAATAATTCCAGACATTTTACAGCTCTCAACATTTTTACCGTTAATTAAGGAACTTGTGCTTCCAGTGGAAACTCCACATCCACTTGTGCTGTTACCAGACGATGCAATTAAAACATCATGCAAACGTTTTTCATACTCTTGATGCTTTCCTTGATGCATTTCCTACAATTAAAGATAAAAACTTGACTTTTGTAGATTAATGCATAACAAAATTAATATGATAGCCTTGCATGTGGCTGTAATCTATTTGAACATTTAAAAATACCTCTTTTGTAAAACTCGCTTCGGGATCTCCTAATTCATGTAGATACATACAATCTCCTTTAGGGCACTGCTGGTTTTTCATGAAGTGACTGCAATATTTAGTCGTACCCAAGCTAGTCTTTATGAGGCGACCATCAATCATTATATTGTTTACACTTTGAATTGCCCTCAACGCATCGGAATTATGAACATAAGTAACATAAGCTGAAGCCGAAGGACCCTAAGTAAAAATATTTTTATTATAAGTGTTGTTTTGATATTAAGGATATTTTCTTGAATAAGATTCTTCCCTCGCAGCATCCAATATCTAAATTTATTAACCTTTTTTAAAATGGATAAATCCAAAATTCATTTACCGATTCAAAGTGTGATCCGATCTTATCCTAAGATATATAAAAGGTATTCACGTCAGCGTTATTTCCTGTGTAAAATTGCGAAAATCCAAAATATTACCCTAATTGATGCATGATTCATGAATTTTGCTACAGGATTTTATATCATAAAGATAAGGCAAAATTTAATTTTTAAATTTCGAGCAAATCCTTAAAAACGAAGATGTGTTTCTAGTGAAAATGACCCAGCAAAAACTTACATTGCACAGTGGGGCAGAATGGAAATTTTTTGGAAATAAATCTGGCATTTCTAAACGGCTGATCCGATCGGGATAAAATTAGGCGTGAGCGGAGCCAAGGAGTATTCGAGTTTAAGTTTTGAAGATGAACCCTGCAGATGCCCCAGGGACGGCGCTGTGGCGGCTCAAAGTAGGGTACCTACGACATGTAAAATTTTTAAACTCGTGCCATTTTTTTGTTTTTCATCCAAATACAAAGACTTTTATATTTTCTGAAAGCGCTCGACGAGATCTTGAAAAAACATGCTTGGGCATACTACTTATCTCTTATAATATCCGAGTTATAGGCATTTAAAAATTTAGTGATACAAAATTTACCATACCTTGGTCCGCCTTTTTTTGAATACCGGGCGTAATTTTGGACCAAATGGACTCAATTTAGTTAGTTGTTAGTTAGACAACAAAATTTCCAATAATATACAAAAAATTTCAGATCAATATCATTTACTGATTCAAAAATATACGTTTTTTAATTTAAAAATTCAAAAAATTTTAGATTTTTGGCGTTTTTTTGCCAAAAATGTGTCTTAACTCTTTTATTAATAAAATAAAATTTTCTTTAAGAACATATAACAATTTTATAGTTTCCTAAAAGGTATCTTTACGCAGAACGCTTTGGCGTAAAAAACTTGTCCTATTTTTTGAAAATGTTGCCACTGCGTCCTTCCGAATGTAACCTATTTTTTATCAAAACTTCAAATTTGGGCGATATGTTCTAAAATCCCAAAGCTGGGATCAGAAAACTGAAAGCACTTTTGGAAACCTCAATATGTTTTCTATTTACTCCAAAAGTATTTTCCCAGCCCTGAAAGAAATGTGGACCCTATGGGCAAAAAAGTAAAAAATCCCATTTTTGGGATTTTCATTCCTATTTTTGGGAATTGCGGGATGCCCTTTGACTTTTTCAATTTTTTTTTTGCATTTTCTTATTTTAAATGACAAATTTAACAAGCGTTGAAAATTTCATTGAGTTTTGTTCATAAATAAAGATTTTGTCATATATTACATATTTGTTTAATTTCTAAAACTATGATTTATATCAAAATTTTAATAGGGTCGCAGATAGCTACAACAATTTAGTCCATATTTATCCCTTAATATCAGTTTTTAGTTAGATATGGAAATTCTCGACCCTTTACAAAAAATTTCAAGCCAATATCTCAATTACATTCAAAAATATGTTCACTTAAACCTGTGTCTTTTAATTTCATCTTTTTCATATTTTAGTATTAAGTATGACAGAACATATTTAAATCTTATATTTACCTATTTTCTATTTGTTTGCTTATCCTTATAATTGAAAGGTCCTATTATGCTTAAATTTTCATAAATTTATAACTATTTTTTACGAAAATCGATAAGCCGTTTGAAAAAAATGCACGTTTTTGCATTAAAGAAGTATAAAAAATTCATTCATGTAAATATATAATTTCTGTACCAAAATTTAAATAAACCGAACTGGTTTTCATTTTAACGGGTTTTTGGACTAATAATTCATTGAAATTTAGAAATGAAAAAAGCAGTTAATTGTAGATAAGTAGGGATATGCTAACTAGAATAAATATTTCATCAAAATTTCTCTTTAGCCGAAAACGCGGTTTTTCTTGAGTTACAAGATAATTTGACGAAGCACACCTAAACCGCTAATTAAAATTGGTAAAACTTAACATTAATCGGTTGCTGATTATGATGCTTATACCAAAATCGATAAGCCGTTAGAAAAAAGTACGATATTGTATTAAATGCATTGAATAAAGTTCGGTCATGTGTATGAAATTTATTTCCAAACTTTACATAGATTTTTGACAGTTTTTATATTATTTACTCAGAAATGGAAACAGAAGATAATTATAAACAAGCAGTTATTGGCTAACAACAAAAATATTTGCATCAAAGTATCTCGTGTGCAGAAAACGCAGTGTTTTTCTTTTAAGAAAAACTTGTAAAGCACATATTCTTTTAAATTTTGACTTCAAGAAGCTATTACTCTTAGACGGAAAAAGATAATTGAACAAAATTTCTACTATATTATTAATTAAGGTATATAAAATCGATTAGCATTTATTTGTAAAAAAAGGTTGTTAGGTCATGGTGCAAAATGAAAATTTAAAAATTCAAACTTAAATATTTTTGTTTATATAAGAATAAACTTATTATAATAAGCTTAATTTTACTTTACTAAATCATATACAATGAAAAAAATTTAATTTCATATTTAAATTTGTTGTTTAGTTAAATTTTATCAGAAAGATACAAGAATATATGGGAAATTCTTTTTTTGTTTTACATTTTAAGAAACCAACTTTATGCATTAAATATTTCTTTGGTTTAATATTTTGAAAATTAAGTGATGACGAATTTTTATTCACAAGACTTGAAAGAAAACGTCCATTAAGTTTTGTGGTCGAGAGTAGTTCCATGTTGGGGAAATAAACATTTAAAGTTAGTTTTTTACAACTTTTGGATATTATGAGGGCGGCTTACAGATTAGAAAGTCAATTTTGCTAATGAAGGCAGTATACACTTGACGAATGACTATACTCTATATTTGTTGTGCGAATTATAAGTAAAGAATTACGTGGTCGCAAAGTTCTGAAACCAAATTTATACAATTTTACAAAATTTGCAGTTTTTTGGATATAATATTTGCGGCTCTTCGGTTATGTAAAATTTAGAAATGAGAAAAAGTAGACACTGTAATCTTTTGATGTATATCTCCAAAATATGGTCTAGAAGATATCAATGTGGGAGAAGCTTAAATGTTGGAAAAATAAACGGGAAAGTTTAAAAAAAATGGCTTTTTCTCGAAGCACACTAACAGCGTAACTTCAATACATATACCCAAAATATGGCGTGATCGAAATACTTTTAAATTTTACATGTTGAAATCATAAAGCCGCGATAAAATATTAGCATGCAAATATGTTAGAGCAATTACAAAAAAATAGCGTATTTTCGCATTATAAACAAATTTTAAATTCTAAATTTTATCAGTAATCAATCTTTATATAGAAAGAATTGGTTTGCATCAAAAAAATTTAATGAAGGCCTTTCGTGGACTGAATACGCGGGGTTTATTTCACAACAAAAATCGATAAAAATCGGTGGCTGACAATGATGGTTATACGAAAATCGATAAGCCGTTTGAAAAAAATGCACGTTTTTGCATTAAAGAAGTATAAAAAAGTTCATTCATGTAAATATATAATTTCTGTACCAAAATTTAAATAAACCGAACTGGTTTTCATTTTAACGGGTTTTTGGACTAATAATTCATTGAAATTTAGAAATGAAAAAAGCAGTTAATTGTAGATAAAATTTCTCTTTAGCCGAAAACGCGGTTTTTCTTGAGTTACAAGATAATTTGACGAAGCATGGTCATGTGTATGAAATTTATTTCCAAACTTTACATAGATTTTTGACAGTTTTTATATTATTTACTCAGAAATGGAAACAGAAGATAATTATAAACAAGCAGTTATTGGCTAACAACAAAAATATTTGCATCAAAGTATCTCGTGTGCAGAAAACGCAGTGTTTTTCTTTTAAGAAAAACTTGTAAAGCACATATTCTTTTAGGTTGCTATTAATGAGTTCTATAGCAAAATCTATAAACCGTTCGAAAAAATACAACCATTTTGGATTTAATGCAATGCATTCGAATATATGCATAAATAAATTAAAACCTCATAATTTTTAATCTATCAAACATAACGGTTAAACAATTGACATAACGGTTAAACAACTAGTAACGATAATTATTGGGTTCTATGGCAACACCGATAAAAATGTGAGTAACGAAGCTACATTGACTGTCATTAATATTCGGTTTTTACATTTCCGTTTTTTTCTGCTCTTAATTGTATGGGGAGGGTTTGCGTTTGTGCTGATGTTTGTAACGCACAAAAATATTTGACCTACCTTAAAGTATACCGATCATCCGTCTCTCCGGCTGGTTAGCTGTCCATGTAAAACTTGTGCGCAAGCTACAGGCCAAATTTTTCAGGATGTTTTGATAAAATTTGGACGATGCCTATTGAAAATGGTTGAAATCGGTCCATTATTTCACCATACAATCTGACATTCTGATTTGGGGTTTTTAACTCATAACTATGTCAAATATACTACTATCTGACCTCAAAATTTGCACAACCAGTCTGACCATTTTGACATTTTTGCTGCTAGATTTAGCATTTTTTATTTTGATTTAGCTGTAAAATTTTAATTTAGCATTTTGCATTTTATTTAGCATTTTTATAAAATATTTTTAGCATTTTTTGGTTTTTTTGGAATTTTAGTATATAAACAAAAAAAAAAGACAAATTTTTGCAAACAAGATTTATATAGGAAATAGGTTTAACCGGAAAACATCAGAATTAAATGTCTACCCAAACACAACCAACAAGAAATATGAGAAATGTAATAATTTACACTGTAATTCAAAATAATGCAAAAAGATTCATGAAGATAAATAACTTAAAATTACGCCAATACAAGTGAATACTTTAAAATGTTGTATTCTAAAATATTTTTCTGGAACCCAATGCTTTTTTAAATTCGAGGTGATAGAAAAAATTCAAGAGATTTCA